GGGGAATACAGCTGCTTCATCTCACTCCTATTTGAGGTCCTAAAAGTTCTGAATTTTGAGAACAAAGGATCCTAAAGAACTTAATTACAGGCAGAGTAGGTTTCCAGGTGGAAACCTAGCTAGAGGTGGGTCTAGCTAGAGGTGAAAGCGCAGCCCATCAGCCTTGGCTCCATTCCAGCCTACTGCCCCAGGGGTCTCAGGGCTGTCAGTACACTCAACAGGCCCAGGCTCCAGCTCTCTGAACAACTGGACAGAAAAAGGAAGCACCAGCGCCACCCAAAACTTACCTCATGCTGGGAATGGCATGGTAACCCAGTCGGAATCGGAGTTTGCTGGACCCTGCAAAATCTGCAATCATCTTTTCCCCCACGGTATGCATATGCTTGAGAAGTTCAAGGTGTTCACTGGTTACAGCCTTCAGACTGGAAATGGAGGTCCATGGTAAGACCAGCCAGTGGTAACGGGCCTTGGGATATTTATCCTTAATCACTACCACCTGCTCATCTTTGTAAACCTAGCAGAGGGACACAAGGAAACACATCTCCTGAGAAGTTTCTGTGTGCCAGGTGCTGCCATACTCATAGATGAGAGCACTGAGACTAAGACAAATCAAGGATCTTGTCACATAGGTATCAGATGATAAATCTAGGATTCTAACCAAGATCTAGAATCAACAGGGGAAGAGATTGGTGCTTTGGCACAGTGAAGAAAGTTGCTGCCTTAAGCACCAACTACCCCATAGTTCAAGTCTAGCTCCCTGCTAACCTGTCTGGGAAAGCAATAGATAATGGCTCAAATCCTTGGGCTCCACCACCCACATGGGAGATCTAGAAGAAGCTTCATGCTCCTGGCTTCAGACCGACCCAGCTCCAGCCATCATGGCCAATTGGGAAGTGAGCCAAAGGGTGGAAGATCCATCTCTCCCTCTAACTCTCTCAAAAAACAAAACAAAAAAAAGCAGCTGTAGGAGAGGCTGGAATTGTGACATAGCATGGAAAGCTACTGCCTATGATGCTGGCTTCTCATATGGGTGCCAGTTGGAGTCCCAGTTGCTCCATTTCTGATTCAACTCCCTGCTAATAGCCAAGGAAAAGCAGCAGAAGATAGTCCAAGTATTTTGGTTCCTGCCACCCATTATGGGAAACACGGATGAAGCTCCTGGCTTCAGCCAGCCCAGCCTTGGCCGTTGTGGCCATCTGGAGAGTATATCAGTGGATAGAAGAACTCTGTCTTTATTTCACTTTCTGTATTAAAAAAAAAAAAATTGTGGGGAGATACCAACAGTGTGACACAACAGATCAATCAATCATTTTGTAACATCAGGATCCCATATCAAAATACAAGTCCCAATCATTCTACTTCCATTCCAGTTCTCTACTAAAGGCCTCTGAGGCTAGAGGTTGGCCTGAGTGCTTGAGTTACCGCCACCCACATGGGAGCCCTGGGTGAAGTTCTGAACCCCTGGCTTCAGCCTGGACCAGACCTGGCCTGGCCAGCATAGCCATTTGGGGGATGAACAAGCAGGTTGAGGATCTCTGTCTTCCTCTCAGTATGTTACTCTGCCTTTCAAATTAATTAATTAATTAAATGAAAAAATCATGGGGGTGTGATTTTTCCAAGTGGCTCAGGCATCAAGCACAATCCTCATCAGAATCACTGGGTTGGACTCCAAGCTCCTGATTCCAGCTTCCTGCCAATGCCATAGGAGGCAGCAGTGATGCTAAGTAACTCAGTCTCTGCCACCACACGGGAGACCCTAATTGAAGTTTCAAACTCCTGGCCTTAGTCTGGCCCAGACTCGGTCACTGAAGGCATACAAGGAGTGAACTAATAGATGGAAGCTCTCTCCTCCTCTGACTTACCCAGGTTCTCTCAAGTAAATAAATTTAATACTAAAAATTAAATGTAAGGCAGAAGGGATAGTCACCTGAATAACTTAGCTTCTCCTCAAATAATTCTAGTTGCTACCTTTTTGCCAATGGAGAAAACACTTGTTCTCACAAAACAGCTGAACAAAACACATCTCATGCCAATGGACTAACACTTTTTAATATAAAATTACGACCCATACCCTGTGATCATTTAAAACATGAGATATGCTTAAATTACAAAATTTGATTCTGACCTGCATTTGGGGATCCTGCATTGAAATCTTCAAGCCTTGACTCCAGTGGCCCAGTGAATCCTAAACAAAAACAGGTCATGTAAATTACCGATAATTAAATCTGACACTAGTTAATACTGTGTGATAGCAAAGTCCAACCAAACCTGGAAATAAGGTCATTTTGAGAATTAAACTACACTCTCTTTACTCAATCTATTGCCTGTTAAGAGTCGTGGAAATATCCACTATCTGCCTAGTTTTGAAGGAGGTGTCTGGATTGAGACCAGAAGAGTCAAGAGTGTGACTCCTGTCCTGTCATTGCCTTCCTCTTATACTCTAGCTACCACCCAGTCAAGTGTTTACCTTGAATATGGCACATAAACTACCTGACCTACACTAGCATCCATTTTAGTCACTCAATGGTAAATATGTTGCTATTATTACCCTATGTTCCTTCAAGTGGTATACCTCAGGAATTCAAGAGAAACACATATAAAGGGACATTTACCCAAGCAATTTCCAAGCCACAAACAAGTGACTCTTTCATCGTGGTGAATAACCCTCATTATGGTTAATAACACTTTACATGTGCCTGAACTTTACAGTATACACAAAACAATTAAGCAGCCATTATATCTCATTTAATCTCCAGGTCACCATCAATCACACTACCCTCACCTTCTTGGTAGATTTATCCTTCACCTTGCTCTTTTTGGGGGGCACAGAGCCATGGCTAGGACTGTTCTCAGATCCGAGCCCTGCGCCAGGATCAGCTTCCTGAGCAGCATCCCTTTCAACAGAATCATTGTTGCCTGATCTCTTTCTCTTCCTGTGTGTTTTTGGTCCAGAGCTCTTTGCCTCTTCCTCAAACTCTACAACATATGGATAACGTTCATTCACCATGCGTAGAACCTGGCCAGGGTACAGCTCCACCTCTTGGTTCTTCCCAATGACGACTGAGTCAATGCTGGTGGGATTGACCCCTACCTAGGGAATAAATAATTACAAAATAATTATAACAGGTGCTGGTGTTGTGGCACAGTGTATTAAGCCACTACCTGCAACACCGGCATCCCATATGAGCACTGGTTTGAATCCCAGCTGCTAGACTCCTAATCCAGCATCCAACAATGTGCCTAGGAAGCAGCAGCAGATGGCCCAGGTACTTGGGCCTGTTACCCATGTGGGAGACATGGCCACTTTGGAGAGCAAACCAGTGGACAGATCATCTCATCCTTTCTCACTTTCTCTCTCTGTAATTTCACCTTTCAAATAAATAAACCTTTTTTAAAAAAAAGGAAAGAATCAAAATAACAATAACACTATTAGTAACATAACATACTACCATGCCAACCTCCCACTGTGTGCCAGGTGCTGTGCTTAACTTCTACCTATGTTACTTGTCACTTCCGTGCATTACAAAAAAGCTCTCACTCACTGACACAGTCACACTAAAGTCAACAATATGGGACAGGCACTGTGGTGCAATGGGTTAAGCCACCACTCAGGACACCCACATCCTCTATTAGAGTGCTGGTTCTAGTCCCACCTACTCTGCTTTGGACCCAGCTTCCGACTCATGCATGCTTTGAGAAACAAATGATAGCTCAAGTGCTTGGCTTCCTGCCAGCCATGTGAGAAACCCAGACAGATCTGGCCTCTCATTTTGGCCCAGCCCAGCTGTGGCTCTTTCAAGCATTTGGGGAATGAAACAATGGATAGAATAGTTTCCTCTTTGAAAGACAAATGAAGGGCCAGTGTGATGGCTCAACTACTAGCTAATCCTCCACCTCCACGCACCAACATCCTATAAAAGTGATGACTCCCTGTCCTGGATGCTCCACTTCCCATCCATCTCCCTGCTTCAGCCTCAGAAAGCAGTAGTGAATGGCCCAAAGCCTTGGGACCCTGAACCCATGTGGGAGACCCAGAAGAAATTCCTGGCTTCAAATCAGCTCAGCTCCAGCCCCACTGCAGCCATTCAGGGAGTGATATAGCGGATGGAAGATCTTTCTCTCTCTGTCTCTCCTTCTCTGTAAATCTGCCTTTCCAATTAAAATAAATAAATCATTTTAAATGATTTTTTAAATTTTCTTTAAAAAAAGAAACAACTGAAAAACAAAGTCAATAGCATAAAAAATCAGCAAGTATAAAGTGGAAGCCATGTTAAAAACACACATACCTGCTTTACCTTCACATATCCCTTTTCACATTCTGCTTTCAACTGCACTGAAAGAGAAAGCAAAAAGTTAAACACCAAGGTAATAAAAACCAACAACTTGCCCTTGCCTTCCCAAAGGACAATGTAGCCTCATTATCTATGAAGTTCAACTGGACTTGGGAGTACATAGAATGTTCAAGAAAAAGGATTGCAGAGACAGAAGAGTCTGAGCTGTGGGAGGCAGCTTTACAGATTTTTTTTTCCTCAAAGGCCTCTGAAGGTCTATTATGCAGATGACTGGGTTCCAAGATCCACCAACTTCTAAAACCTTCAATTCCTCCCATAAAATGTCCAACGCGGGACCCGTGTTCTGACACAGAGAGCTACACATTGTTTGCCACGTCAACACCTCCTTTTGGAGCACCAGATGAAGTTCCAGCTATTTCACTTCTGATCCAGCTCCCTGATAATGTGCCTGGGAAAGCAGTGAGGTGCCCCAGGTCTTCAGTTCCCTGCCACCCACACAAGGAACCATGATGGGGTTCCTGTTCCTGGCTTCAGCCTAGCCCACCATCTGGTTGTTGAAGCCATTTGAGAAGTGAACCAGCAGATGGAAAGAGTATATGTGCTTTCTTTCTCAACATAACAGGCTCACTCAACATAACAGACTCTGCCAACCTGAAAGGGGGGTTCATTTCTCACAAAAGTGCTTGCCTTACACTTAAATCAGGCTTCTATTATCAATTTCCACTCACAGATTTATGTGTCATCCTTGTGCAGGGGCCATGCTTATCTTCTCTGTATCGTACCAATTTTAATATGTGCTATTAAAGTGAGCACTTCTATTATCAATTTTCAAAACTACCAGATGCCTTCAACAAAGAAAGAGGTAAAATACATATTCTGAAAAACAGAAGTTCAACCAACCTTGGGAGGAACAGTGGAAAGCATCGAGGAAGAAGACAACAAAGACAGAACAGACTGAGAACATATGAGCAGAAAGAACATTAAACACAGAGGGGGTTAGTTCTGTGTCTTTTTGTTTCATTTTGCTGTTTAAAAGATTCATTTATTTATGTGAAAGGCAGAATTAAGAGAAGGGAAAAGACAACAAGATCTTTCACCTGCTGGTTCACTCCCCAAATGACTGTAATAGCTGGAGCTGGGCTGGTCCAAAGCCAGGAGCGAGAGCTGCTTCAAAGTCTCCATGTGAGTCCAAGGGCTCAAGGACTTGGGCAAACCTTTCCTGCTTTCCCAGGTGCATTAGCAGGGATTTGGATTGGGAGTGGGGCAACCAAGACTTGAACTGGCACCCATATGGGATGCCAGCCTCGCTTTACCCACCATGCCACACTAGCTCCTGCTTCCATGTCTGCCTGTGGGTTCAAGCATGGTTCTTCCTCTCCTTAGACTAGCTCAGGTAGGATAAACAATAATCTGTGTGTTGCAGGCCCCAACTCTCTGAACTACTCGGGGGTCACACTACAGTGAGGAACACAGTAAGGCCCTTTGCCGAGGACAAGAACTCTCACTTCATTAACCTAAGAGAGATGAGACACCCAGTGCTCTAGCCCTCTGTGTGGGCTATGTAAGGGATGGCACCACCCTGCAGTTTCCAGCTGACTCTGGATTTCTTCCATCTCACTGCCCAGTGAGCAATCTCTCCAGGCCAGGCAGAGTGAAGGACTCAGTTCCACTGTCCCATGATTACAAGTGAAAATGTGGCTGCTCCCAACCCCACCTGACAGGGATGTCACCACATGGGAGGGCAGAATCAGGAATGAAGGGGGCCCTGGTGCTAGCTACAAGGTTAGTCTCTGAGGCTTGTTTTTGGCGATGTGTTTTCTACCAGTGTTACCCAGGAAGTGGGCATCTCTGTTTATCACTCTCTTACAGAAACACACATGGCAGTCTCCATAATGTCATGACTAGTTACCTTGCTGTCGAGAACATTTCTTATCAGTAATCTTGGTCTCTGGGCTGCGTCCAATCACAACTGCTTCCAAATGCGGAAGTCTGATTCGCTGGTGCCGGCTGTCCTGCCTCACCAGCCAGCACACCCGCATCGTCACTCTAGAGACAAAACCAGAGAACCGCTGGGAAAGCTCCACCAACACGAGCCCACACTCAGCAGCGCCACACACGTGATTCACCGGTGGCACATCTTGAGGCAGGTGACTTCTCCTCCCTCTCAATTCCCTCCCCTACAAACCCTTGATAATGACAGGACTCAGGAAGCCTTTGCAAGGCTTAAAATGAGATAATGTGGTTAAGTATTTACCTCCCTGCCTGACTCATGTTACGCAATCAAATGTTGCTACACACTTACTGATACACTCCATGTGCTGGGCACTGGGGTATCTAATGAAGCTCAAAAGGAAATAAAACATTGTCCCTGTCCCTGAGGTCCTGGACAGATTGAGATGACAATCATCACCATGTAACATGATAAACATTATTCACAAGAGAGTACGCAAACATGTAATTACCCAGAAAAAGAACTGACTGATGCACAGGGTATTTACCTGGGCTTGTAATGTATGAGGAGCTGGCCCACTAGGCAACTAGGGACCCAGAAGGAAGGGGTTCCTCAGTTCTTGGTGTCTTTATGTGTGCTGGGTTTCCCTTTCTTAGTTGTTGTAATATGTACTAGTGTTAGAACTACACATTCTGCTCTCATCTGCCAGAGAATTGCCAAATAAATGTACAAATCCACAATTTCTATTGAGTGAACACACCACTTTTGCATAATATACAACTTATGCAAGAGTAGAAGTGCTGGTTTGGGGGGTTTTGTTTCATTTTGGAAAAAAAAAAAAAATCAGTCCGTCAGTCAAAAAGAGAGAGGAAAGAAATTCAAAAAAGGTGAGGCCTGAACAAAGACACAAGTAATGGGAGCAGACAGGAATACAGGCTAGGGGAAACCTGGAGACTCATTTCAGTCCTATCTTCCTTTACTGAATCTTGCCTTTTTCACTTTGTAGATACTGTTATTTTATTTTTTTATTGAAAGTTTGTGGCTTAGTACCATTTTTTCAACAAACTATACTCACCTCATGTCTCTATAACACATTTCAGAGTTTTTAATAATGCCAACTTATCCATTACTGTTACATCGCAGGGGGATCTGTGATCAACAATCTTTGACGTTACTAGTATAACTGCTTTGGGGTGTCAGGAATCCCACTCTATGACTAACTTAGGGGATACATGCCATGAGTTTACATTGCTCCACTGATTTGCTATTCATACCTCCTGAATGCCCCAAATCCATCCCCATCCCCCACCACTACCACCACACTGGTCTCCCTCTCCCCTGGACTCCCTATTCCCAAAGATACAATCCTAAAATTGGATCAGGAAAGATTTCCTCAACCCCCAGTGTAATGAAAACAACAATGTCTCGGAACTATCAAAATCATTCAAGTAACACCCTTGGAGCATTTTTCCTCACATCGGGGTCTCTAAGATGTCATCAAATGATTGCCCCCATCCCTGGCTGCTTATATAGTGTGACAGCAAGGAATGACTCTCTCCCTTCAGACACAGGAGAATAAAAAGGAATGAACTGAGGGCCCAACATGGTAGCCTAGTGGCTAAAGTCCTTGCCTTGCATGCACCAGGATCCCATATGGGTGCCAGTTCTAATCCCAGCTGCTCTGCTTCCCATCCAGCTCCCTGCTTGTGGCCTAGGAAAGCAGTGGAGGACAGCCCAAAGCCTTGGGACCCTGTACCCAAGTGAGAGACCCAGAGGAGGCTCCTGGCTCCTGGCTTCAGATTAGCACAGCTCTGGCTGTTGCAGCTGCTTGGTGAATGAATCAGCGGACAGTCTCTCCTCCTCTCTGTATACCTGACTTTCCAATATAAATAATAAATCTTTTTAAAAAAGAAAAAAACAAATATTTATCTGCCCACGTACCTTTGCACCTCAACCCTACCCACTCTAATCAGAGGACACATTGGTATGCATTCCTCTCAACTATGTAATCAACATCAGTGTTTGCTTCAGCAGCACATATAATAAAACTATGTAATCAACATTAAAAACTTTTAATTAAAAAAAGATCAGTCAATAATAATATAATCACCTCTAAATGTTCAAGTTTAAAAAAAGAATCCCATGTCTCTCACTTGAAATTAAAAGTTAGAAAATATTAAGCATAGAGATGCCAAAAGCTGAGGCAGGCCAAAAGCCAAGTTGTGAATACAAATGAAAATGTTACTCCAAAGAACATATGTATAAGAAAGGGAAACAGGGCCAAAGCTTTGGCTCAACTGGCTAATCCCCACCTCCAAGTGCCACATCCTATATGGGCGCTAGTTCATGTCCTGGCTGCTCCACTCCTGATCCAGCTCCCCACTTATGGCCTGACAAAGCAGTCGAAAATGGCCCAAAGCCTTGGGACCCTGCACCCACGTGGGAGACCAGGAGGAAGCTCTTAGTTTTGGACTGGCTGAGACTTCTTTCCTATCTCTCCTTCTTTTTTGAAGATTTTTTTTATTGGAAAGTTAGATATACAGAGAGGAGGAGAGACAGAGGAAGATCTTCCAACACTGATTCACTCCCCAAGCAGCTGCAACAGCCAGAGCTGTGCCAATCAGAAGCCAAGAGCCATCATCTTCTTCTGGGTCTCCCACGTGGATGCAGGGTCCCAAGGCTTTGGGCTGTCTTCAACTACTTTCCCAGGCCACAATCAGGTAGCTGGATGGGAAGTGGGGCTGCCAGGATTAGAACTGGCACCCATATGGGATTCCAGCAAGTGCAAGGTAAACACTTTCAGCCACTAGGCTACCACGCCAGGCCCCAGACTTGTTTACTTCTCTGGCACCTCTTGGTGTACAACGCCACATATCCTCACACCCACATGGGCAAACCCTACTTACCTCGTTTTCAGCTCTACAAAATCTTTTATTCCAAAGTTGTGTGTATTGTTTAGAAATTCTAAGTATTTTCAAAAGAACTCAAGTAGTTTGATAAAAATTCTGATATTATGCCTTAGTGCTGTCCAACAGAATTTTCCACAATAATGTATATGTCCTAAACTTGCCCAAAAAGACAACTATCATGTGATAAGTGAGCTAGAATGTAGCTAGTTTAACACAGGAACTATACTTTATCTCATCATTTAGATCTTCTAGAAGTTTACTTAAATAACCTCAGGCAGCTAAGGCATACCAGGTAAAGCTGCCAGCTTTAAAGTCCTGGCTGCTCTACTTCTATCCAGCTCCTTGATAATGTGCCTCAGAAATCCAGTGGAAGACAGCCTAATTCTTGGGACCTGGCACCAACAAAGATCCTGAAGAGGCTCCTGGTTCCTGGCTTTGAACCAGGCCACCCCGGCCACTGCAGAAATTTGTGGAGTGAACCAGAGAAAAAATATCCCTTTTTATGTTCTTTCTGTGTAACTCTCTGCTTCATATACATAATAGATCTCTTTTAAAGATTTTTTTACTTTTTATTCAAAATGCAGAGTTACAGAGAAGGAGAGAAAAACCTTTTTGCTGGATCACTCCTCAAAGGACCACAATGGTCAGGCCTGAGCTGATCCAAAGCCAGGAGCTTCCTGCCGGTCTCCCACATGGGTGCAGGGTCCCAAGGTTTTGGGCCATCCTCTGCTGCTTTCTTAGGTTATCAGCAGGGAGTGGAACATCCGGACATGACATGAATTGGCGCCTGTATGGAATACCAGCAATGGCAGTCAGAGGATTAGCCAATTTAGCCATTGTTCAAGCCCCATAAATATTTTTTAAAATAAATACAAGATGAAAAAGAAGAAAATAACTTTGTTTTGTTCAACCCTGTATCTTAATGTTTCATAAACAAATCATGTAAGCAAA